AAAAAATTATAATTTGTGGCAAAGATTTTGTCATAATAATCAAATCTATAATTTAATTGAAGAATGAATCAATTTCATAAATTAAGGAATAATAAATTTAATTAAAGCCAATAAATTCATTATATTTCAATGAAATGCCATCTCATTAAAATTTTTTTCTAAATGTGCAATTTTAGTTTCCATGTTAGTATTAAAAATTAAAGCAAAAAAAGACTTTTACCCAAAAAAGAATACCATACTAGTACTTTTTTTTTTTTTTTGTACATATGAATGGGCTATATACAAGTGGAGGGAATGGTCCTTCTCTTTCTCTAAATCCTTTTTCACCCAACTCCAGGTTTAAACTGGAGACCTCCAATTTAAAATCTCAAACTTTTAACCATTGAGTCATTCCATTAAGGTTACCACACTAGTACTTAGTTGACCAAAGGAACTAAAACGGTTAAAAAGAAAAATTTTAGAGATTATAAAGTGTATTTCTTAAGTATAAAGATTAAATTGGGGTTTTAACTTTCTTTGTTTAAGCTAAATAACTCCTACTCATGGATTACTAATGACACATTGCATCCAACCTATAAATTAAATGCCACACAAGCCATTAAACAAACGGCATTGAGGGGCTTGGTTAATGGAGGGGCTTAGTTGCTTCAAACGGGAGTTAGAAGGGTTTATTTGCTTCATTTTTAGTTTAGGGGCTGATCACTAACTGTTGGAAAAGCTGAGGGGCTTAAGAAGGGTTTTTGCCGAAGAAAAAGATGGACAACGAAAATACGTAAAAAACGGAAGAAACAGATCGCCAGATAGACCTTAAGAAAAGAAACTGTACAAAAGTAAAGAGTCGTAAGACAACAAACAAAGAAAAAGAAAATAGGGGAAAGGTTCAAAGGAACCAGAAGAAAAGAAACAAAAGGAAAGAAACATAAGAAAGAAGAGAAAACCAAAAGAAAAGTGGCGGGGATTATTGCTGTTGAAAAAAAAAAAAGTTGCGGAAGGAGTGGCAGAAACATAGGAAACTGGAAAAGTGCAAAGATTTGCCGGGGAAAAGGAATAAAAAAACAGCGGACGAAATTTTTAGAACGATACGGCCCAAATGGACCACCACAAGGAAAATTTTAACCGAAATCCTTTTTATCTGGCATTAATTTGGAATCACGATAATTGAGTGAGCAATGGGTTCCTTAGAAGGTTAAATTTTTGTCAATTTCATGAAGGCTAAGATTTTGCATTTACTTTTTGTTGTTTTGCATGTTTCCCTTTTTGCAGCTTTCATTTGATTTGTTACTTTTATGAAGAAGCAGGTTAATCAAACCAAGAAGGAAAGTATCCAGGCCAACCAAACTCAGAGCAATAATCAAGGAATATTCTGAGCAACGGTCAAGTAACGTCACTCTCCTTAATCCTAGGCATAACAAATGGATTTGATCATGTAATTACAATTATATATATCTCCACTCTTGTACAGAACACTTATCAAATACAACTCAGTAATCTTTTCAAATTCTTTATATTTTCCTTCATGGTATCAAAACCCAAATTCTATCATAAGAAGCCTGTTGTTAGCCCCACCCAATAGGACCCGAAGTTGAAGATACCGAACCTGCAGTTAAGGGGGTGTGTTAACTCATGTGACAGGACCCGACATTCATAGTGGGCCTGCATGTGAAGGGGCGTGTTAAGTGAGAAATCCCACATCGAGTATAAAAATAAAAAGCTTGTGGGTTAAATACAAGGAAGGTCACTCCACCTATTACCAATTGGTTTTAGGTTAGATGCAAGCCTTGTGTTGAGCCCACACGCACAATTTTCACAAACGAGCAAGAATTACATTGAAAAGGCCTATTGGTAGTGAAAAGAAGTGATGGTGAATCTCTTGAAGATTTTGTCAGAAAATTTAAAAATGCCTATGATCAATTAGTTGCAATCTGTAAACCTCTTGATGATTTGGATAAGGTGTTTCAACTTTCTAGAGTTGTAGGATCAAGGTACCAGCCTTATAACCTTGCAGTCCTATCAAAGGCTCCATATCCAACCTTCAATCAGTACACAATAGGCTTATAGAATTATGAGAGGGACTTACAAATAGCAGAACAGGAGAACAAAGATAAAACTCTAGTTTATGCTCAAACATTTGTGGCACATATGGGGAGAGGAGATCGAGGCAGAAGCTATGGTGGTAGACACTTCAACTCTAGGGGCAGAGGTTTTGTTCAAGCTGGAAATTACAATTGGTTTGGTAACCAACGAATTGGAAATTACAACTCATTTGGTAACCACAAGAACTTCACAACCAATAACAATCCTCTACCACAACAGAATATGCCACAAAGTTTCAACAACAAAAAAAGCTCACTCAACAAGGAGAGAACCCATGTCAAATTTATGGAATAGCAGGACATATTGCTTTAAAATGTTGGTACAGGTTTGATCATGCATATCAGAGTGAGGAACTACCTCAAGCCCTTGCAACCTTGACTCTATTGGAGAAAAAAGATCAGAATATCTATGTGGACATAGGGGCAACTGATCACATGACCTCAGATGCAGGTAAACTTTATACTAAAAGGCCTTATACTAGAAATCATAAAGTGTTTACAGGTGATGGAACTCTTTTAAATATCTCTCACATTGGATCTACAACTATAGGTTCCTTAAAACTTAATAATGTTCTAGTTGTTCCTAATCTCAAGAAAAATCTTTTATCTATCAATAACTTTACTAATGAAAATCCTTGCATTTTTGAGTTCTCATCTAATGGTTTTGTGATTAAGGACCAAGTAACACAGACGGTGTTGGCTAGAGGCACTAAAAAGGGGCAGCTTTGTGCATTGGAAGAGGGACAAAAGCATGTTTTGGCAGTTATCTCAAATAAAGCTACTGACTCTATATGGCATCAGAGGCTAGGACATCCAAATTCCAGCACTCTAAAAACTCTTGTTTCAAAAAAGAGCATCTCTATTTCAAATTGGACAAAACCTTCCTATTTGTGCACTAGTTGTCAAATGGGGAAGAGTTGTAAGCTTCCTTTTCTAAGAAATAATGAAAGAGCTAAATCCTTATTTGACAAAACACACTATGACTTATGGGGGCCTTCTCCAGTTCAATCAATTAATCATTTTGTTTATTATGTGATATTTGTGGATGATTATAGTAGGTACACTTGGTTCTACCCCATACATAAGAAATCTGACTTTTTTGGTATATTCTTGAAATTTCAGAAGATGATCTCCAACCAATTTAACAAAACTACAAAAATTTTCCAATGTGATGGAGGAGGAGAATTCTCCAGTTTAGCATTTGTTAATCACCTAGTAGAATGTGGTATTAAGCAACAAGTATCTTGTCCTGGTACACCAGAACAGAATGGCATTGTTGAAAGGAAACATAGGCATATTGTTGAGACAGGTTTGACTTTATTATTGCATGCTAATATGCCGTCTCGTTATTGGGTTGATAGCTTTTCTACTGCTGTTTTTCTCATTAACAGAATGCTTGCATTTGTGTTAAACAATAAATCTCCCTATTATTTGCTCTACGGTAAGGTCCCTGATTACTCAATGTTAAAAGTGTTTGGTTGTCGTTGCTTTCCTTATCTTAGAGATTATGCTGACCATAAGCTTCAACCTAGGTCTTTACCATGTGTTTTTATTGGTTATAGTCTTATTCACAAAGGATATAAATGTTTACATCCCTTTACTCAACGCATCTACATATCCAGGCATGTTATTTTTGATGAACACTTTATGCCATACACTGATCTTACAAATATTTCAAAGCATGTTGCTATAGATGGAGAATTTTGTAAGTATCCCGATTGTTGCAAGTTTCATCTCATTTACAGCCATCTAAGCACTTCGATGAGCATTTACAAATCTCCAGGCCAATTCCATAGTATACTACCATCAGTGATGAAAGGGAAAACACTTACTATAGTAATAATCAAATTAATTCTACAGTAAGGGAATCACTAGTACAACAACCTGAGGAAGGTAATGCAACACAACAATAGCTCTTAGCTCAAGAACAAGTTATGCAAACAAATAATGAAAGAGAAAGATCAAGATTTCGATGATGAATCACCAAGCCATATAGATGAATCACAATCTACTGAATCATCAAGCCATACAAATGTATCTTCTTCACATAATACATCAGAAGACATAATGCAACATCGACTTAATGAAGAACCAGCAGAATCTCAACTTATTGGAGTATCTGAAGATTCTAATCTAGCTCGCAGTGGAGTATCACCACCACCTCATAATGCAACTTCAGTCTCCAATCATCCTATGATAACAAGAGCTCGAGTAGGGACTCATGCTAGTCATGTTAAAACTATATTCACAAAGCATGCAAATTACATGAATACTAAAGATCCTTTTTTTAACATTGCAGGTCATGACATCCAAGAACCAAAAACAGTGAAGAAGGCACTCCAAATTCCACACTGGTTCAATGCCATGAGAGAAGAATTAGATGCACTTCACAAAAACAACACATGGACTCTAGTACCACCACCGTCTTCACCAATGAATATTGTAGGGTCCAAATGGGTGTTTAAAACAAAGTTGAATCCTGATGGAACTATAGAAAGATTCAAGGCTCAGTTAGTAGCACGAGGTTTCTCTCAAATACCTGGAGTAGACTTCGATAAAACATTTAGTCCAGTTTTAAAACCTACTACTCTCTGATTAGTCATTGCTCTTGCAACAACTTTTGGATGGCCTCTGAGACAACTAGATGTAAAGAATGCATTTCTACATGGCAAGCTCAAAGAAACAATTTACATGAGTCAGCCACCAGGTTTTGAAGATCCCAAACATCCTACATATGTCTGCCAACTGCACAAGTCAATATATGATCTCAAGCAGGCTCCGAGGGCATGGTTTGATACTTTTACATTGCATCTTCTATGAATGGGATTTTGTTGTAGCCAAGCTGATTCCTCTTTAGTTGTATTACATAATCAACAAGGTGTTGCTTTGCTCCTCTTATATGTTGATGATATTGTACTCACTGCAAGTTCTGGACTATTACTTCAGGATATCACCAATCATCTCAGTAGACAATTTGCACTCAAGGATTTAGGAGCCCTTACTTATTTTCTGGGTATAGAGGTTAATAAATTCAATGGAGGTATCTTCTTGTCTCAGGCAAAATATGCAAGTGACATCCTCACTCGTGCCTCAATGCTTGAAGCATCAACTGTCACAACACATCTCTCAACTACAAAATCAATAACCCCAAGAGATGCGGAACTTGTTGATGCACAAGAATATTGAAGAATTGTTGGTGCTCTTCAATATCTTACCATTACTCGTGTAGATATTTGTCACTCTGTTAATAGATTATGCCAATTTATGCAAAGTCCCACACTTGCTCACCTTTGACAGGTTAAGTGTATACTACGATACATTAAGGGGACTATGAATTTTGGATTGCAGTTCTACTCATGTAGCACACTATCCCTAACTGGCTTTTGTGAACATTACTCTCCTTAATCCTAGGCATAACAAATGGATTTGATCCTGTAATTACAATTATATATATCTCCACTCTTTCATTCTTGGTTTGATTGACCTGCTTCTTCATAACTTTGATTTGGGTTTCTCTCTTTTTTTCATTTGTTCTTTCTTGACTTCACCATTGTTAGCTTGGTGATTGAATGGATATGGGGTTTTGCAAGTTGTTGAACTTGGATTTCAGGGAGAAAGTTTGTGGAAGGGAGGCAAAATTACATCTATATATGTTCAAGATAATGACAACAAATTTGAAT